ACCTTATACATTAACAAAATAGACACAGAAGTACAGGACCGGTCTTTTCGACATGCTAAAAAGTTCATGGCTCTAGACCTCAGGATTTTTTTATCTAAAGTTATTCATGTCAGGTCATTGACATAAAGTAACCACAGCAATCCATCTCGGGTAGCTACTGGCCAAATGTACTGAGCCTATGCCCTCTTTACGCCAACAACATCCTACGGACAATACACCAGAAAAAAAGGTGCACATTGGTATTCTTTTCTAACCCTGTAACCTTGAAAGTATTTCAAGTTCATTTATTTACGGTAAGAAAACCGTTATAGCAGGAAGCTACTGGCTTAAGGTCTTCCAGCTCCCAAGAATATGTTGACCTCGGAAAGACTGATCACACTATACGGAAGTTCACACGCACATCGTGACAGGTGAGCTTTAATGAAAACACAAACACCAGACAAAGATACTATTCATGACATCATTTTATTCTCTTTTTCATAGCCAATACAGCCCAGTGACAATTGAAGGAACTATACCAGTTTGAGCAAGCACATGTACTTAACACTACCTAGACTTGTCACAGAGACACGACTAGCTATGCTGTTATAATCTGCTACATGGAAACCTGTACATCTACTAGTACTACAAGTATCCAAATACAAAATGGTCTAATTGTAATCGGAAATAAATAACCTACTTGCAATAGTCTTTTTATCATAATATCAAATAACTATTTCGTGAAATTCTTCAGTGAAGGGCTTTTACCAGTCTAGTCTATCATATTGTGAATTATGAATATTTTTTTCAAACATTAGTTCAAAAATAGACGTAATTCTTTATCAAAATAAAACACAGTGAAGTTCTGGTCATTGTTCAATGTATGACCCAAAAAGTAACTTCAAATTAAAGGTTTTGCAATTTGTAATAATAAAATCCACTGTATTTCCTATCCTACATCTTAGTATGTGTCTACCTGTGACTGAAGGCTATAATGTACAGCATGTCGACACTGGTCATGCTACTGGAACGGAACCCTAACATGCTCCCTTTTAAGGCTATCAACTAGATCATGACAATGCCGTGAAATGCACTATGTACTAGTATAACATTAATACATTTTTGTCATGTATATATCACAGATTATTCCATGGACGATACTGATATCAATCTTGCAATTATCAACAATTCCTCGAAATTACAACTTAATACATGTTTGATACTTACATAACAACTTATTTTCACACGCACAGTATTTTATTTCATCAGCATCACGTGATGTGCATTCCTTTAATTTCTTTTCATGGTGCGCCCACAATTTTTCATCATCTAGGTTTTCCTTTCCTGTTCAAATATATATCTTGTTTCCAATATGGAAACGTTCAGACATGTATCTAGTATACCACAATATGTACATGTTATACTCACTACAGTAAAATCTCATTTAATTGCTGATGGACGGTTTAAAGATTTTCTTGTGCATTACATGTATACTTATTCAAAAACATCCAAGATTCCAAACAACATATACAAAAACATGCATTGTAAAACGTTGATTTTGTCGAAATATTTTGAGTGAGAAACATTATTTCTCAAATCATTGAATTTAGGTCAACCTAGATCACCATTGATAAAGGGAATTCAGTAAATCTGCTATATATAAGTTTAAGGAAAATATGATTTCTTTTTAGCAATTACAGTGTACAGGAACTTCAATGCAAAGAGTATATTATTTCCTGATAGTGTATACAGCATGTCAGGTCTTAAATAAAAAAGAGTATGCAACACTCCTGAAAAGTCACCGAAAGGAGCCCCAATGATAGATTCACTGTCCCTTTGAAGTCTCCGTTGAAAATTCCTTAACTGATTTCTTTATTTTATAAAAGTATTCATATCTTTTCATAAGGACGTTAACAATGCAGAATGATTTAAACCATTCCCCTTCAATAATCCAGTAGGTATGTTTCCACCTTACTGGTGTAAACCAATTTCATAATTACGTCTAGTCTCTAAATATTCTGGCACTGTGAAAACATTAATGTTATTTTTGTCTAAATTAACATTTTATGTCTCTTATGGTACCATTTTAAAATCATGCACAAGGCTAAGCATGAATAAGGCTAACGTAATACCTCAATAAAGACTCCAATTCACAGTAAAGATAACATCTGGTTTCCTTCAAAAATCAGATATCCTTACGCAAAAAGGGAACTGCCTCCATGACATACATCGACTACGAAGATTTTGAGAATTTCCCCCGATACATCCATTTTATAATGTACCATATTATATACTAGTAGAGCTGTATACTGTATCACAGTCGTGTAACATCTAGTAATAAATGACTCAATATATACTGTACAACAGCATGTCTCTCGTAAAATCTGTGTACCTGGTAGGTTTCCATGCATCAATCAATGAAGGTGAAGAATATGTGGTCGGGTAACAGTATATAAATAACAAACCCTTATGATGCAAAGATGTGTCCAGATGAATGGATCCTATACAATCCTGTGATTATGAAATGCTGTTTTATGGGCGTGACTGGCTCCATTGCTCTATCAATTATCTAGCATAAGGTCTAAATATCAATACATTCTAGACAGAACGTGTTCAGTGTGGAAGAATAAATAAAGTTGGTAACAAAAACGCATCACTTCTTGCTTGCAAAATCATGAAAGCTACACTCTTTTCTGACCGATTAACACTTCCCTAGTCAATACTTGTTAAATTAACAACAATTTGGTCTGTAAACCATACTTAGAATATAAATACATCACATTGAAGAATTGCTCCCCTTTTGTTTTACAGAAAAAATTCCCGAAACATTGTTTGACTAGCATACTTAGTTTTTGTACTTTGAAAAAATATGAAGTAAACATCAACATATAGAAATCAAGAAATTTGACATAGATACCCGATTTAATTATGTAAGGAATGGACTTGTATTGTTCCCAAGTAATCACTAACACTGAATACATATGAGAAGTGGAACTTGAATTTAAAGGTAAATTTCGAATACTAATAATAACGAAATTTTACAAAACACTTGGACACTTCATACCTTAATCTCTATTCAGTTACCGAAACAGAGTTCTTTTTATTTCTATATCCTGATGTATACACATTGTTTTTAGAATGATCAAGTGCAAGTATCACTGTAGTGAAAACAAGACGTTAAGATTACTGACCGGGTACATTGATAGTCATAATACTGCCGTTCGTTGGGGGTGTACTCGCGTTACAGTATGGAACTTGCTACCTGAATGGAGCACTACCTATCATAACCTTGTACCGATACGACCTATCCTTAACCCAAATAATACACATACAACTTTCCATTGATGTGGAAAAATAAACCTTTCAATTAAAGACAACGTATGAATATGGTACTGTTCTACATATCACATGTACAAGCTATGAAGCAGATAGGAGAAAAAGAATCTTTCCATTCCTTTGGTATGATGGTTCAAGTTTTAAATACTGTTGGAAAAATCTAGATCCTTCTCAGTCTCTAATCGAAACTGAGATCAGAATCTTAATAAATGGTACACCATGGAATCAGACTATTGTTGACATTTCAATTATTTCAAACAGATATCGTTGGAGTTTTTCATAGCTCCTGGAAATTTAATCCTGTGAGTGATGGATAGGTTCCATTTAAACAGTGTTTTCCAAATTATTATCCAGTTACGGGTAACAATCAAATAACCAAAGAACATACATGAAGCAGGGGAGATAAGTTATGACTGAAGAGCTACCAGGGGAGATAAGTCATGACTGAAGAGCTACCAGAGGTCTGCAGTGTAATACTGGGGGGGTTGTATGGACAGTGTCCTCTTATAAATACCAACTATATACAACATCTACACCACATATATACTGTACATGCTTAATGACTATTAACTGTAGATTTATTTATCAAAAACCTGTACATAACTATGATAAACAATAAACAACAAAGATCACCTCTTTAACAATGGACGGATTGAAATGGAGGACGTACAATGACGTAATATAATAATAATAAATAAATTCACCTCCAGCTACAAAGGCAAGCTACAAGAATAACTACACAACCAATCTTAAACGATCTTGAAAATGTGAAAATGTACACTGATATTGAATAATATTAACTAAGTCCAGCACATTCATCAATCAATAGTTGAATGCTTATAAGGGAAAACAGCACAAAATTCTCAATGAAATTATGCACTTTTGCTATTCATGAATGTTCTAACTAATTGGACAATGAAGGTACACTGGCATTTTAGAAATAGAAAAAAATAAAATTTGTTCCAACAAATGCACTTCTATAATTCAGATGAATATTAAATCAACGTGGTTCAAATCAAATGGTGTGGGAAGCATATAAATTGCCTGAGCATCAACACAAAATATATAGCTATAACATTTCAGTTAATACAGCGGTATAATATACAAATGAACATGAGAATGGATGACATCAGTCAATTTGCAATTTCAAACATTCAATGATGGTGTGGCAATTAAATGTTAACTTAAAATTGAAAAAGAACAATTCTTTTCTGTGCCTCATGATTAAAAAGAAGGCATTTGCCTATCAAACGTAATATTTTTCTGTAGGACTGTACCATAACAGTCATTCCATGTTGCCTCTGAACTTTGAATTTCAAAAAAAACCTACTTTGACACTGACAAAACATTGCACATGATATTAACAAGCCATTATAACATTCAATCCCTTTCTGCGTACACGATCATCAAAACACTTTCAAGTTTTATCCCTAAAACCTTCTTTTCCTAAAATATATTCTTGCTAGTATGTATCGTTATCATTCCTGTTTAACAGATTTCAAATATCCTATAGTTGACTTGAAAACTCCATCTGCAATACATTTGACAAATCAAGAATTTCACATAACAAAGAAAACAAAGTAGGTCTCATGAAACCAGTTGAAATTTGAAAACAGATCCTTAAAATTAGTCAAAAAAATGTAAACAGATGATCAACACTAGTTAAAAAAAATTAAACAGATCATCAACACTAGTAAAAAAAAAAAAAAAAAAAAAAAAATCCTCATATTAATAAAATTGATATTCTCTGGCTACAAATGCAGGTCAATTATAGCACTATTTCCATCACACATAAATCTTTGATGAATCACATTGACAAGATATACAGCCAAATTGTGAGTTACACAATTTCACCAATACATGTCTTCAACATCTATCTAAAATATATCTATTTATCTCACTAACAAAGTAAATCTTTTATGTACCTGGTATTTGAAATGGAATGTCGTCAATAGTAATAGATTTATTAATACGATACAGTAGAACTTTGTTAGGCCAGAATGTGATCAATAAAATATCGAAAATGTCCATTCATGAAGAAAGATCAAAGTGTCCAGAACAACTTGGTTCTACTGTACCGTATAGGCCTTATGTAACATTTGGGTTTACAATTTAGGCATATCTTACATAGTTCATTATCTTTATCAATAACAATATTCCCACAACAGTTTTTAAATATCTCTCAAGTGTTTGCCAAATTAGTGACATAAACTTTCTCATTTAGACCATCACAACTTTTCTGATCAGCACTTAAAGAAAAAAAATGTAAAATAACCATTCACACATTATACACGCTATACCAAACACCCCATCTCTTACTCAAATTTTCTTCCCATAATAGGATTTAAAGTATATATTGTTAAGGAACTGCCATGTACAACCAAATACTTGTTTTAGGTTTAATACTGCCAAAGCACTCAGATAGATTATTATAAATGCTACACTCCAAACTGAAGATGTTAAAAGAGTCTGCTCAATCATTTTAACTTGGTACCTCTCTCAATTGTCAAGAAATATTGATGTTTTGCAACTAGATACATCCCTGGGAAGGTTTTTTTCAAATACCATAATTTCCTGCATATATCCTGCAGGCCATACAATGTTTTACATCGGTAAAAGAATTTTGCAGGCCATCTCGTGAAGCAGATTATTGGGTATTTTTTCCCCCAATATATAAATATGTTTTTTGTGCTGCTGTTTTTTTTCTCTACTTTGCACACCAGAGCAAGATTTATACAAATCAAAATTAAAATCAAATACAATATAATACACCACCAACAATCCTCTTCAGGGGTCATTTGTACCTCATCCCTTTTTCCAATACTGTTTGGCTGGGTTTTTTCTGTTGTGCCCTCGCCACAGGTACACATACAAACCTGCCCCTTTACTTTAAGAGTTTTAACCTATTACCTGCTGGCTATTTGTTGGAGTAGACTATCTGTTTATATTTTCACAAAAAATACTACATTTAACGTCCAGCAGGCTATCCCCCAGTGCAGGACACATGCAGAAAATTTCGATAAATGTGGTTTATATCTCAAAAGCTACAATGCTTCCACATCTAATGCATTTCTAAAGGCAAAAACATTCGCACCCCTATATACATACACTTCTAACCTATCTATTGATATCAACACACTTCACAAGTAGCAAACCATACATTCTTCATTCTTGATAAAACACATAGAAATGACTATTTCATGTCTCTATATTGAAGTAAAACAAAAACAATATAAAATGGAAATTAGAGAATATATTATATCACAGTTTATCACAGATATCAGAGAATAAACACAACTGGATGGTTTTGATGTGACCAAATCGTCTAATCTGGACTCAATTCTCCAGCCTATATATCAGCTCGAAATTGTATCCTTTTCAAATCCAACTTATCCAACAACATTTTAGTTGTCACGCTCGATACATCTGACAAATTAAATTCTCCTTGTGGGTTGTATGGAAATATTTGTTTTCTAATCACACTAATCAAACGTCTTTCGTCAAGATTGAGAAATATGTTGACCAATCACATTAAATGTCTTTCGTCGAGTTAAAGAAGTCTTTGGGACGGTTTGTGGTAAAATCATCTCTCTATCAAGTCCTGAAGGAGCTGAAGATGGCGAGGGGTGACATTGGGATCAGACGTGGCCTTTTCTAAAAGACTGTTGCCCATGTGTGAGTACAAGGCATTGACAAGGGAACAAGTTGCAGACCGGATGCTAGAGCTGCCACCCTGAATGGCCCCACTGCTGTGTGTAGCACCAAGTAAGTGCCACACCAGCGGCAGCACATGCAGTATGACCTGCTTGTGTTTGCGTTGATAAACCTTGATCACAAGTTCTGGAAAAGACAATTAGGATTAATGTAATTATCTACATTGAAATCTATAAATGTTAGATGTATATTTTTATACCTATATTAATCTTAATTTAATGTTTAATAAACTGAAATTTATGTTTTTTCTAATGACATTTGGAAGAGATACTTCCAAATTGTAGGGAACCACCTCACAAGAAAGGAACCACCACTTACCAGCAACTTTTTCCACCAAGTCTGGCTTGCTCCTGGCATTGGCAGATTGTGCTTGATTGGCAAGAGGCTGAATCAAAAGTCCACCATCTGCAAAGAAAGATTCGGTAAGAACTAGAATCATACTAACCCTTTCACCCCTATGTAACTTTAGTAGACTCACCCATGGACTGATCTGGATGAGTCCATTTTGGTCTACAGTGGTGAAAGGGTTAAGAAGATTCCTCAAAATAAAATAAGTTAAAGGAATAGATAACATATAGCTCAACTTATGTAATCAGATTATTTTGATGAGTGGACTCTGTTCTGTACGGTCAAATTGTGTGTTCTTGGTTAAACGCCATCTCTAGTAGCCTAATATACTGCCAGAGTGTATAGGATTGAATGAAGAACATTTACTCTACCTACTGAATGTCATTTATAAAAAAAACTTAACCGACTAATAGCTGCATGTAGTCTGACAGCACATGCCTCCAAGACACTGATGTCCCCTTGCCAAACTTGGCGCTAACAAACTACACTTTGAGTCTTGGAAACCCCATCAATACTATATAATCCATTAATTTGGCGCTAACAAACTACACTTGGAGTCTTGGAAACCCCATCAATATTATATAATCCATTAATATGGCACTAACAAACTACACTTTGAGTCTTGGAAACCCCATCAATATTATATAATCCATTAATTTGTATTCCTGGATGAATTCATAATCATGGTGACTGGACCACACATATGTTTTTATGTATACAAATGTTTCCTGGATTGAATGAGTGTTTAAACTAATATTAAAACAACAACCCTGCTTTCCTTTTTACATGTAATAGTAAAAGTGTTTATACATATAATAATATAATAATAATCTTTATTTAACGTTGTATACCTATGAATCAGAAATTTTAAAATAGAGGAAAGGAAAAGGTACAAATATATTATCTTAAATTTTTTATATTTAGTGTTTAATTACTTCATTAATCATCGAGACAGGGCCATACCAATTCTATCCTGAACATGCACACAAATGTAGTATGTATGCATCAGCATGAATTTCTTCTGTCACAAATTTATTGAGTAGTTGAATATGCAATCATCAATGCCACGAAAATTTAAAAGTATGTTGAAAATTACCTATGTTATCAACGAGAGCATCTATAACATCCATTGCCGTTGCATAAATTTCCTTGTTGCGCGAGGAGAGATTTGGTGCCACATTGCCCACAGCAATGTTCAACACCACTGCCAAAGAGTCTGATAAATAGGGGATGATCTGTAGAAACACTTGAAGCGCATATAGGTTAACTTTGCTGTTGGGATCTTGAAGACGAGGTAAAAACTTGTCGAAGATCTGAAAAAAATTGGAAATAATAAACTAACAAATTTTACAGGATTATTTTAAGTCACATTTTAAATGCCAGTGTGGTAATTAATGAGTAATTTAATGTTTTTATAATAAATTGCACTTTCTATATTTTTTTTTTGTAGTAAATACTTGATTATCTCCCTTGACCAACTTTGATCTACAGAACGTCTCGTTACCTTTATGAGACTTTACCAACAATAACTCCCATATTGTATTTCATATCACTGTTAAGACACTCCAGTATAAAGCAAACTAAAATTAGAACAATGCATGAATAAATTTCAATCAGTGAAACAAAAAAACAACGTTTTTAGTATCTGAAGAAGATTTTCATCTGGAAGAAAACTGGTTAATGAACCGTAATTCAAACTTACCTTTACCATATTAGCAGATATGACCTCGGCATGTGTGTCACACATCTCAAGGAGTCGTGTGATGCCCTTGTAGCGGTCACGCCAATCGTTAGCTGATATTAAGGCTGTCATCTGTTTCACCTCCTCTTGGGTTGCCTCATCTGTCCTCACCAATTTCTTCGGGGAAGCATGCTGATTCTCACTACAACCAGGGGAATATGTTCACTGACCACAAATTATCAGCATGCTGGCATTACATCTTTCTTGTTTTCAATTAACAATGAATTTATGTCAATCACACTGACCACTGATGTCTAATATAAATTTAAAAGTTTGCAGAAAAATAGTGTCAATTTAGAGTTAGTTTCGGTTTTCACATTCCTTTATTAATCCACATATAGAAATATATCTATAACACTGACTAATAAACCAGTTCCTTAAAATACAGATTCCATAGAATTACTATAAATTCTATTACAATGGAAAAACAATAAACCTGAAGTCTTTTGACATTGAATAGGACAATAATTAAAAGTGAAAATTAAGTAAGGAAATTGTTGATTAGTTACAGAACATGTTGAACACTTCAATGACGCTATGGTTGCTACTGACGGACATATGTACTACCTGTTGGCAGACCCTCCCCGGATCATGGAACTGTTGCGACTACTAGGATGTGTCCTTCCCCCTCGAGCTGACGACGACTCACCAGGAAGATCTCCCAAACCCTAGAAACATTGAAACAGGAGTATGAATGAACTCAATAGCAATAGAGAAACTCTGACATATTTACTTTTCTTTTGCAGAATTATTTTTTAGTTACAGGAAAATAATCGACAACTCTCTTTTAGAAGTTGGAACATACAAGTTGTGTTACCATTAGAGTGAAAATGCTTCTTAAAAAATGTCTTCAAAATTTACCCAACTTTACCTAACTGAACTTGCAAATGCAAATGGATTTCATTGACAGTAATTAGTTTTCCTGAACTTAAAAACCAATGCTTTCTGCTGTTTGAAAATAATGACGAAAGCATGGACATTTTTTCGACAACTAGGAGCTACAGATAAATAATTTAATACAGAGGATTCTTTTCAGCAATTTACAGGATGAAAATATGCTACCTTTGTTCTCAAGGTATCCACTATTTCAACAACGTTGCGCAGAGTCTGAGGTGGTAAATGCTTTGTAAGCATTTTGTCAAAGTCTTGGTGCACCATTAGGATAGAAAAGATTTTCCTGCCGTTGTATCTGCAAATAGACCAGCAATAAAAATGTTTCAGAAAGACTGAGCATGAACAGAAAAAAATATTCTGTGATCACTCTTTTCGGCCCAAAATGTGTAAATTTCACCTCGTATATAAGAAGATACAGAGTGAGGTTTTCTTATTCTTTAAAACTATGGGATTTTGAAAATCGCAAGTAACTGCCTGTTTGTGAACAAGAAGATGAGCATTTGACCTCAAATGAAAGAAATTTCATATTTCCATATTATTTTTTTTGATAATTATATACAGAAACTTAAATTCCAATGTACACGCCTGTTTGCCAGTGACATACCTGGTTTCTGGCGATCCATCTAAACAAAAACTCGCGGCAGTAGGTAATACTCTATCTGTGATATCTTTCACTCCACTCAGAATACGTCCTGGACCCATCTTATCCACAAGATCCACCACGAAGTAGGATGTTGTCTTTCGAACTTGAGGGTTCTTGTGCCTGTTCAGAATACATGTATCATTTAATGCTTCACTATAAAGCAGAATACAGCAATGAATTGGTCATTTAAAATATCAGCCAACACAAACGGAAGTGTCAAAATCTTGAAAATATATTTTCAGTACTGAATATTACACAATTCTTAAATGGTATTTACTTGGACCTGTACTCTGATAAGAGCCGAGACTTACAATGTAAAAGATACTACGTACAACAGAAATAGCTTTAAACCATCGAACTGCTAATTCCTATCCACAAAGATGATCTTGATTCATACAATATATCCCACAAAACTTACGTGGCGCCTCCTGCTATCAGTGCCAACAATGACCTCTGAGGGGTAATACAATCTAACATCACTGCTAATGCCTTCTCCACGTCTTCTCGAATGAATCCGTTACTCTCTCCATTTTTGGCGAGAAGAACTTTGGCAGTAATATCAACTTCCTGTTGAAAAAACCCATGAGATGCCTTAAAATTTTGTTTGGAAAGTGAAATTTGACTATTTTCAACTACACTGAAAATCACTAGTGCAATAGGATCATAATGAAATGCCTCAACATATTCAAATATAATTTTTATAATCTCATATTAGAGGTATCTATAACTCTACATTAACTAAATGAATCATGAATAATTAAACAGAAATTTAAAGCGAGAAATCTTACATCCAAGTCTGTTGTCGTGTACACACGACAACAATATGTCATCCTGGTCCCCGTTGCCGTGTACAGACGACAAAATAAAGGGCCGTCTTATCCCCGTTGTCGTGTACACACGACAACAGACTTGGATGTAACCTGCTTGATGTTTAGTTGGTTATCGCACGAGACTGTCGCGAAAAAACAATTAATTGTCGCTAAAATCAGAACCCATCAGTTTGGAAGAAATAATTTTATTTGTGCAGAGTACACTTTTTATTATGTGACTTAAAGTTTTCGCATTTGCCGCAAGATGTTTTCGTTTGGTGCCTCAAATGTAAACATGATGGCGGCAACTTAATTCGATATGAACACTCGTAAATTCATCATCAGATATTTGTTGAGACTTACGGAAGTAAATTTGAATATTCTAATATAAGTCTTGATAAAATCTACTTGTATTTAGAACGACTCCACATTCATAACCATAATCAATCCCCATTGGAAACCTGCATTACAACGCTGTGTTAAATACAAGGAATTGTATCGTTTATTGCCAGACAAATGTCAATTTCTCAGTCATAATCAGCTGCCAGTTTGTCATTATGCTGCGAAAATGAAGAAGTGTTTGTCTATGAACCAGAACATGAAACAATAACAAAATTTGTTCACGGTTACCCGTTTTATTCTTGCGGCAGTTACACTTAGTCTAAAAAGTACATTAAAAATCTGCCATTTTGTTATATGCGCGGGGGCGAGTCTAATAAGTACATCCGGTACGGAATCCGGACCGGAGTTGCGGTACGGAAAGAGTTAAGAGTGATTTAGAATTATATCTGTTGGACATTTTTCTCTCTTTTAAAATCATGCAATAACACAGAGTGAAAATGATTGGAAGATACTTACAGAATCCATTCCCTTCTTCAGGTAGGCGTACATGTCTGCTATACATACAATGGCTGATCGTGATACTTGTGAGCGCAAGTTTTTCACCTGGAGTAAAGAGGGTTATCTTATAATAACATGTTTCTTTTATGCTCTCAGTCTGATATTCAAGACTCTTGATTGCATTGAGATCAATTGTAGAAAAGCACATAAGTTTTAACTTGCGACTGACAAACAAATTCTCGCAAAATTTGAGTTTGACAAATTTCCTTCTATGAAGATGATAAAATCTTTGTTTTCCTGCTATTTCATCCTATTAACATTTCTTTCGTTGAAATTTTCTACTGTATCATCCCTGTATAAATTATCTTTTATCAACATGAATGAAATCACTCACTTCATTTAACATTGCGATGATGACGCTGTGTAGCTGTTGGTTGACCACTTCAGGGTGGTACTTCACCAGTCTCCGCATCATGTTGATACCGCTGCACTTGATTTCCCTGTAAAGGCAGGACTGACAATGTTATCACAAGCTACTTTACATAAATCACAGGAATCAGAACAACAATGGAGAAGCAGCCACTATTGATAGCAATGTAATTTTTTTGTAAAAAAAAACACCAAAAACAATTGAACAGGTAGTTTTTATGGAGTTGCTTCCCTTCTATCAAAGAATTCAACATTTTAAAGAAAAATAGTTTTTCCGAGTATTGCTAACTGGATCTTTGGTCATAGAGTCATTATCTTAAATCACAGTGTATTTAAGTATAAGTTTGCTTTTTAATTGACACTTTACAATCATGTTGAGTTACTTGTCTGACATGAAACCTCGAAGATTTATAGATAAAAGCACAGTTCACAGTGGCAACTGGGATTTACAAAGTACAAAAAGTAAAACACAATGATGAGGAGCATCCTACCAGTCCTCTTGAGCAAGGTTCTTGTTAGCATCCCTTAGCGCAAGGTCAGGATCTCTATAGGGTTTCCAGTCATCCGGATTTTCCGACTCCAAACCAGAGCGGGATGAGGACGCTGATACAGGGTGACTAGACGTTCCGTTGACTTGTCTGAAAAAACCCAGCAACTAACTCATATAACACTGGACAACTGACAATGAAATTGAAATTGTAGAACATTGGACAAATGTCACATTGCACTCAACTGGAAAGAATCCTGACAAAACTTTCAGGATTTAAAATTCATTAAAAGAAAATATTTGATCTGATAAAACAATTGTAGATTTTCTGCAAATTTTGCATCACCGTACACCTTAGATAACGTTGTTGCAAATACGTTAAACTCAGTAAAAAAAGATGTTTCAAAAATACCATATCATGATTTTTCTATTAAAGGTTGATATATTAATAATTTGACATTATAATTATTCAAAAAAAAAAGGACATAAATTCTTACGGTTTTGTTCTTTTTCGCGGCGAGAAAGCGGGCGATGTTTTCGTTTTTGGTGTATTTGAACCAGATATTGATAATGCTGAAAAAAGAAAGTGAATATAATAGTGAGTATGATTCATATATTGGATCTTCCTGTCCTGTCATATTTCGGGTATATAGCAAATATATGCACAGTGAACATATGGATATTAAGTTTCCAAAACGGTAGAAGGTATGCACACACAATTTTTCATAGAATATTACAGGATTTTCTCAGCAAACACCAAATTTAAAAAAAAAAACTCAGTGTTTTTTGATAAATTAGTCACCATTTCCTCTTCGATGAATAGAGCCACCTATTTCAAAATTACTCAAGAAAAAATCGGATTTTCGTGACATACATTTCTCATCATGGTCAATCTTTCAGAACTGCTGTTTTTATTGTGCTTTGTCTTAACGAGATTGAATCCCTGGCACATGATAAGACATTCTGATTGGTTACCTTAGTCTGATGCCCTGCAGACCCATTTGGTTCTGCGTTCTTGATGCTGAGCATCAGACAAAAAAGACATTCTGTTTGGCTGGGAATCTTATGACCTTTTGTAAACAGACTGGGTATTCTTATCAGTAAACTTGATGATTAGACAGTGATCAGTGACTGTGGAGAACACACACGTGCTCAGTGATCAGTGACTGTGGAGAACACACACGTGCTCAGTGAGTGTTAACACTTACACTCTATACCTAAACTTTCGCTGGTATTCAAACGCCGAAGCTTCTCTTGTTGTCTCTCTCGCTCTTTCCTTATCTTCTCATCATGCTCTTGTTTCTTCTTTTCTCTATCTCTTCGTTCCCTCTCTAATTCCTCTTCCTTCTGTTTTTGAGCCTGAATTATTCTGTCTTTCATGGCTTTGCTCATGGCTTTGTTGGGATCCTGAAAGGTTTGTTAGGAAAAGTTGTGATCTGATATGCATTATCATGATTTTGAATCAAACAAGCCATGCGAGTGATTGACAACCAATATGATAATAGATGATTGGGGCAATTCACGAGTCAAAACAATCGTCCCAAACACTACAATACCAGCTTAAATAATATTTATGTTCCTATTATATCTAAAATGTGTTATAAGAGATCACACATTCTGTTACTACATAAAGATCTCTACAATTTACTTCTGATCATAAGTTCTAGAATGATCACTCCTATGTCTCTTATTTAAATTGTATTAAACAGCTTTTATTGAATTCAGATAACAACTAAAAGATTCAGCTGACCTCAGTGAGGTTGTTGGGGTCCTCCAGATAAGGGTCGTCACTTGAGCCCTGTCTGTTCATGCTTACACCAACCACAGCATTGGGCATGTCACGGCGGTCAGATTTCATGGACTTCTTGTCGTACCGGTCCTGAGACTGGGAGTTACCCACCATCATGGCATGGTCAGTCCCATTGCTGGAGTCAAACATTCCTGTACATACAAAAATACTTACTTTTAATCAATTTCTATTAATTTTTCAATGATTTCAATACTTCAATCTCACAGCACTCCAAGCAATTTATAGTTAAATATTTTTCAAATGTGCAATTTAATCATTCTGTGATGATCTAAATATCTATCTAACAGTGAAAACATGCCAATATCAATTCTCAATCAGTGTCGAGTGACTTATAATGCAATCATGTGTCTTTAGCTTAATTATTGTGAAAATGCTGTGATAATACAAACCAACTAATTAAGCTGTAATTCGGCTCTGCCATTGTATATCTATCATTTCTTTTCAGAAGGAAATATGCATATCTACATGTAGCAGCTCCTTCCAATTGAATGAAAGGACAATGGATCAGGAGAGATCTGCCAAGTAACCCAGCTATATTCACAGGATTAGAACAACGAGAGATATTGTAGGAATTATTGTGCAGGTGATAAATTTGTTAAAATATCAGAGTATTATAAGAGACAGGAATGAGGTTAACAAGTCCTTGTTATAGAGGAGAATCTTCGGCCTACATGTCCTTTCCGTAAATGCTGAAAACGCATTATAGAAAACCAACTGATTCTTACAACTACTGACAAAAATTTAAAGAGAGTGTGGGATTAAGCCAACAATCAAAACTCTACCCTCTTAAATGGAATGCCAAATATATGAAAAGCTTTCAAGACATATCACCCTACTTTAGTGTAAACACTACGGACACTCCCTTCCCCTACTTGCGCATAAAACACTATTAACACACCCCTCTCCTACTCCAACATAAAACACTATGGACACACCCCTCTCCTATTCCATTGTATAACACTATGGACACACCCCTCTCCTATTCCATTGTATAACACTATGGACATACCCCTCTCCTATTCCATTGTAAAACACTACGGACACTCCCTTCCCCTACTTGCGCATAAAACACTATTAACACACCCCTCTCCTACTCCAACATAAAACACTATGGACACCCCCCTCTCCTATTCCATTGTATAACACTATGGACACACCCCTCTCCTATTCCATTGTAAAACACTATGGACACACCCCTCTCCTACTCGAGCGTAAAACACTATGGACACACCCCTCTCCTACTCGAGCGTAAAACTCTATGGACACACCCCTCTCCTACTCGAGCGTAAAACACTATGGACACACCCCTCCCCTACTCTAACGTAAAACACTATGGACACACCCCTCTCCTACTCTAACGTAAAACAATATGAACACACCCCTCTCCTACTCGAGCATAAAACACTATGGACACACCCCTCTCCTACTCTAACGTAAAACACTATGGTCACACCCCTCTCCTACTCCAACGTAAAACACTATGGACACACCCCTCTCCTACTCCAACGTAAAACACTATGGACACACCCATCTCCAACTCAACCATAAAACACTATGGACACACCCCTCTTCTACTCCAACGTAAAACACTATGCACACACCCCTCCCAGAATCCAACATAAAATACTATTGATACCAACCTCTCCTACTCCAATGAAAACAGTATGGACACAGCCCTCTACTATTCTAGCATACAACACTATGGACACCCCCCTCTCCTAATCCAGCATAAAACACTATGGACAACCCTCCCCTACTGAACACTTCAGATGGACACCCCCCACCCCCTCCTTATTATCGTGTAAACACTTAGGACAGTCCCTTCCTCTACTCTAGCAGTGTAAATACTATAGACACATACCCCTGCCCACCACTCTGACACCAATGTTTCCATCCTTGGCAGGGGCTTGGTCGTCATCCAGCTCCACTGAGCCGAGACTGTTGGACGAAGCCACGCCCAGAGGGGACAATAACGGTCCTGAAAAAAATGACATCATGGAATGCTGGGATACGTGAGGTGAAGGTCTGTGACATGTGACCAGGCTTTCCTTATTAGGAAGTCATTCCAATGAATTTTGTTTTCAGTTCAGAAGAGATGAAATCCAATAGATATAGTCATTATATACAAGGCACAACTTACAATTTACATTTACATTACTTTTATCACGTCAATCACAAACGCTTACATTAATCTTTCTAGGGCTAAATTATAAACAGCAAACATACTGTATGGAATCAATAGCAGAACTGAAGTATGGCCATGTTGGTTAGATACAAACATTATGCTAATGCCATAAATTCTATACATTAACCAACACTTCGAAATTGATATAATCCATCGAGAGATCAAGAGTTTGCCATTTCCAAGATCAATATCTATGGGTGTACTTATATATAATCCAATGGAATGAATTCCTGCCAAGGCAAAATTAATGTTTAACACATGAATTATTACATGCAAGTAGGAGTCCCAAAACGTCCATGCAGTGAAACCCCACTCCATATCACAACCACGTATGTCAAACATCAACTTGACATTTCAACAACTAATGGGGGTGAAAGTGTTGCTTCCTGGTTTACTTTTGGATTTCAGAACAATTTGTGTTAAGGTAGCACATACACCTTCTATCCCAGTACCCTTTATAAGTGAGGAACATGCATGCAGATGGTAGAAGTTGTCGGACAAGGAGTTGGTTACAGTGATGCAAAGGAATGTTGTTAAGAGGATAACAAAACTTGAGGAAAGCATTTTGACCTTGATTTTTTAATGTATCAAAAGTTATGAATGCTATTCCCAAAACAAATGCTTCAAAAGACAACAGTTTGAAACATGAGATTAATTTTATAGAAAATTCCATTATATTACAAGTTTTTCAAAATCACAAAGTAAAACAAATATAACAATACAAAAGGTCTTTGCTTCCCTCGGTCTTTACTTAATTTGAGCACACCTCTTCATTTACATGCTTCAATACTGAAAGAGGACTTTTTGAAAGTTAATGAAGTAGGATAGTCTAAGTGGAATATTTCCCATCCGATTACCCCAGGACTAACTCTACTGTAAGGATCCTTACCTTTCTGAGTGCGCCGCCGTGCTTTATTGGCAGCCGCAGCAGCACTGGCCTTGGAGTCGGCAGTCGGGATAGTGTCGTCACTGTAGCCCCGTCCTACCACCTGGACATCCGAGTTACGGTTTTCCCTGAAGGTCACGCCGCTCACAGGGTTGTAGTCTATGTGTAGGGTACCGCTACTACTACTCGAGTCAGTGACATCAGATCCATAAACATCACGACTACTGCTACTTTTCTTCAAGTCGACTTCCGACCTCGCTAACTTTGGCCTTGATTCAAATGGTGCTTCCACCTTTTTGCTGAAGAAAATGATTTATTAAGATTTTTAAAAAAGCAAATTAACAAAAACAGTTGGGTTTTTTTTTAGGTAGAATAAAAGTTTGCTGATGTCAACCCTATTTTACAAATATCATTTCTGTCAGACACAATTAATGAAACTGAAACAAATGTCACTCCAGGAAAAGAGGTTTTGGTAAACAATGACAGTGAAGGATGTAAAACATACCTCTTCTTGCTGCGATTTGACAGAGAGCTAGCATCAGAGTCGTTATCTCGTGACGATGTGCTCCATATACCACTCTCGTGAAAGTCTGGTGAAGGAGACCTTGAAGTCAGGCTCTGCTGGCTGGAAGTTTTCTCTAACACAACTTTTTCCTTCTTTTTATGGGCACTACTTCGGATTCCTTGTAAGGACTTCATCATCTGTAAAACAAACCAATCAATTTGAGTTGCTATCAACTTGTTTATAGTTAAGTCCTTCATGTCAGATACAGCCTCCAAACAGAGCCCTGCACTCATCCATGTACAGGTTCCTGAAATCAGTTCCATAATATGATGCAAATGTGAAAAATACCCCAAACAAGAGGCCCAAGGGCCTTAGCGGTCACCTGAGTTATATCATAGATACTGGTAGCTTTATTTTATTGTTTAGATGTGATGTGGAAATCAGCATGTAAACTAAGTGAAATACAATACTTGTCATGTCATCAATGGATAAGAATTTGAAAATATTGGTAAATGTTCCCTTTGGGGCCCCGCTCTAGCCCCTGGGGATGGGGCAGGAATCCTAATTTTACAAAGTAAAACTCTCATTTACCCAAGATGATTCTGACTAAGTTTGAGCAATTTTCTGCTGAAAATGGATAAAATATATACCGAAAAGTGTTATTTCCCTATATAAACTATATTAAAC